TAATTGATGTGAGCATACCGACAGGGCAGTTATTCTGGTGCCCTTGGGCTTAACTGCACTGATACTCCATGCATCCTGCCTGTGCCTTCCCGTGCTTCCACCATCTCAGGGGGTGCGGGGGCTTCTCCCCTGAGCCAGGGCAGCACTGACTGTGCCCGTTAAGTGCTCTTTATTTCTGTGACGTGTCAGGAGGCTGCCGGCCGAAACCACAGCCTGCCTATGAACCGCATCTGCGCTTGCAGAGCAGCACGGTGAGTGCCATCTACTGATAATTAAACACGCAGCAGCGCAGCGGGAGAGGCCGGTTCAGGCAGCGACTCAGTGATACATCGCAACCGGCACGGACGGCGCTGCTCTGCACGGCTGCCAGCTCCGTGACATTACGGAGTCGTGGCAGCACTCTACTCGCAGGCTGCCAGGGCTGGCTTCTGCTGCAAGGTCGTTTCTTGAAGCTTCATCAAGCATCATTTCTTCCGGGATGTGCTGGGTGGTTTAGAGCTATGCTGATCTTCGCTGCAGTCTTCTGGGAAAATAAAAAAAATCTTTGGCAGGATTAGGATTTGTAGAATATAAATGACCATTAATAAATTTTTTGTGTTAATGTAAGTGCTTGTATCAACTGGAAGCTGAATCGTTTAATCAGGCTAGCAGCAATTAAAATGGTAATTTTTTTTTCTGTACTAGATTCTGCTTGCAATTTTTACTGAAGTAAAACTCTTTGAAGTTAATTGGAATTTTGATTAAAGCCTCCTGGATCTGGGTCTCTGAGTTTGTACTAAGGAAGGTTCAATATTTGCTTTGGTTTTCTGCACATGGAGTTCACTGCTATATATTAGTGTGACTGTACAATTAGTGGTAACAACTCCAATAAAGATTTCTGTAATCTAGTTCTTGATATACTTCAAAAAAGGTCTTTTATCACAGAATGGCTTTTAAAGTACTGCTAAACAGGCTGTAAGATCTGAAAAACTTGATTGATTAAATTGTTTGTCTTAATTATTTCCTATGAATGGCTTAGTAACATTCACTTAATGGTAATTCAGAACTTGGAATGGGGTGGGAGGAAGGGAGATGTTCTTGCTCTTCGGATTCAGGGTTCAGGTTTTGGTTGCCAATGCAAAAGAAAAAACCTACTCAAATTACATTATAACTACTGAAGATAAGTCACTGTGGTGTAACTGCTTTAAAAAATAACATTTTTGTCCAAAATATTGCAAAAAAACCCCAAACCAAATACTCTGCCAAAAACTAAAAAAACAAACAAACAAAAAAAAACCACATCACAAAACCCTGACCAGACTGGCACGAGGCATTTTGTGAAAAGTACAAGCCCCAAGCAGCGTGTTCTGGTATGAAAGGCACTTGAAGAGCCAGGGGAGTGTTGTCCTGACTTACGCTGGTTTCACTCCAGCTAGTACGACCACATGGGAGAATAAAGGCCTCCGTGAAGGAGGAAGACTTGAATGGAAAAACTCTCCAGCAAACAAGGGATACTTATTTTTATTGTGTCATGGGATTTGCCTGGAACTTTGCTGCATGCTGATGTCATTTTTGTGGACACATTTCATCCCTCATCCTTCCAGACAAAGGAGTGCTTTTCTGAAAGCTGCAACATAACTGGTGTAAATATTGCTTAAATTTCACTTGGGTCAGTTGCTGGTGTGGAAAAAGCAAAAAGAAAGAAGGGAATAATCAGGCAGAAATTGTACTGATAATACCAAACATGTGGGTTCTTATCGTGTATCTCTGTTTATAACAAGAGTATTATACCTTGAGATCAAAATGCAGGACAATTTGTTTTGAGAACTCCTTTGGCAACTATTAACAAAGGTTCTTAAATAAATATATATATATATATGCATATATTCTTGATCTTAAAGAAACATATATTAAATAACGAGTTATAAATATCCTAGACTAAGAAGTGCAACAGTTTATCGCTAATTTAAATAATAATAACTCTGAAATTTTGTTGTGACTGTGGGTTTTATTTATTTCTTTTATTTCATCCTAATGTGGTCATTGCAGCATAGTTTCTTCAATTTTCCAGTTTTACACTGCAACAAGCAGATTAAAGTGTGAGGAAAACAAATAAAAACAGATCCTTGCAATTCAGATAAGTGTTCTGATCTTTTGTCTCTACTTTTTCTGAAGATCTTAATTTTGAGAAACAAAGAAATTTTTACTTTAAGTATTTTTCTCTATTCCCTCTAAAACACAAAGAATACGAGAAAGGAAGGATTAAAAAGAAGATCAAAGCTTTTATTATTAATTTTGCAATACAGTATAAAATACTTGAATATTCAACAGCTATGCTATTACAGTAACAAAACCATGTTACAAACTGCTTAATGGTTATCCTAAGGGTCATGATTCCCTGATAGTGGACTTTGAGTTCTTAAATGGCTGCAGCAAGGATAAGCACCACACCAGTTACTCAATCCCAACCTGTGGACACAGTATGTTGTGTGAAAATGAACACTTTCAAACTAAATTACTAAAATTACCACACTTACTGTATAATATTTGCCATTTGTACAGTCAAGTTCACCCCGTCTCAGACTTTGCATTTGAACAGCACCCAGTGACTCACAGTCACAAGAGAGGAGCAAGTAAGCACACTCCTGAGAGAAAGGTAGTTACATACGTAGAAATAAGTCCCTGCTCTGATGTAAAAATGTCCTAGGAGACTTAAAAAAACCCAGTCTGTTGTTTAAAGCAGCGATCGGGAAGCAAAAGCACATTTCTGCATAGCAGATTGGTGCACAAGGAAGCCTGAACACCTCACAGGTGTGAATGCCTGCTCATGATGTCCCTGTTTTCTTGTGCCCTACCCAAGATAGCCTTGGCCACTTTGAAGAGGTGGCCTGAGGTCCTGCTCATTCCATGAAACTAATAGCTACATGTGTGCTACACACATAGAGCCCCTCGGCACTTGTAGAGGTTCACAGGCACCCTCAGGACTCTGGACATGTCATCAGCCGGACCGATGCAACTGGATCGATGCTGAAACCAGGACTGGTGATTTTTCTCTTTTCTTTCTTTTTCTTCTCTCTCTTTCTTTTCTTTCTCTCTTTTCCTCTCTTTCTTTTCTTCCTCTCTTTTCCTCTCTTTCTTTTCTTTGTCTCCTTTCCTCTCTTTCTTTTCTTCGTCTCCTTTCCTCTTTCTTTTCTTCCTCTCTTTCTTTCTTTTCTTTCTCTCTTTTTCTCTCTCTTTCTTTTCTCTCTTTCTTTTCTTTCTCTTTCTTTTCTTTCTCTCTTTTTCTCTCTCTTTCTTTTCTCTCTTTCTTTTCTTTCTCTTTTTTTCTCTCTCTTTCTTTTCTCTCTTTCTTTTCTTT